AAAGATTTATAAAGTTATTGTATACATAATCTACAAAAATTATACACTATGTGGACATCACAGATTTGCAAAAAAAGAAGCACCACCACCAAAGCATTCATAATCTCTCAAATATCCTTAGAAATACTTATATAGCAGCCCCAACATGTATTTAAATAATAGATAATTATCCCAACAAGTTTAACATTCATCTTACAGCTAGTATGAAATCCAGCTGTATTCTATTTTTTTTTCTTCCCTCCTGGACTTACTGTGCACTGCGAATATGGAAGAATTTAACAAGAGTAGTGGGTTTCTCCTAGCTGCACAACTTTCCAGGTACTACTCATGTACTTTCTGCACTGGTAGATGTGAATCCCACGTACCAAATGCTGTGATGCCAACTCAGGGACATGTGAGGACTAGGCCATGACTCTAATAAAAACAAATCAAAAAGACGACTCTCAGTCCCAAGGAGCCTACAGTCACCCTACTGACCATGGCTAAATTACAAGGGTTGAATTCAATGAAAAAGCAACATTAAGTAGAGAGAGAATATTTTTACCTCATCAGCAGACCAAGTAGTGTAACCAGACTTGCCTTCAAAGCAACAGCAGGATCATAACCCTTTATGTTAGAATCATAGAATTAACTGGGTTGGAAGAGACCTCCAAGATCATCAAGTCCAACCCCACTGTGATTACTAGATCATGGCACTCAGTGCTGCATCCAGAAGAGTACGCCTTGGCCAGTTCAGGGATCAGCATGGGAGGAAAGCTAAGGCAGACAGTCCTAAACAGAAGGCTCCAGGGGAGTTGGTTGATTTCAGTGATTGCCTTCTCCAATCCTGATGTGTGGGAAATCAAGCAAAGGTGGCAGGAAGCTGGCAAGAACGAACAATGAGCTCCTGACTAAATTCAAGACATAAAAAGGAACACACAAGGTGGAGAGCTGCAAGTGACCCTGGAGAAATACAGAGCTGCTGTCTCAGCATGAAGGAATGGAGTCAAGAAAGCCAAAGCTCCCTTGGAGAACTAGCAAGGGATTTGAAGAGTATTGAGGGCTGCTATAGGCATGTCTGCAGCAAATGAAATTAGACAAGGTGTGAAGTTGCTGAAAAGAATGAGAACTCAATTTTGATCCAAGGAAGAAAATAAAAAAACACTGACAGTTGTTTTGAATAACCTCAGAGGGTTCCTTTCAGAATAGAAAAAATACCACTTTAGAAAATAACCCATGGCAGTCTGACAGATACAGGGAAGGGAGGGGTATCTGGAGCTCAGCTAGGATCATTAGGGAGAACTGTGATTTATATTATTGCTACATATGATCCAGGACTACATGGGTTTGGTTGGTTGGTTAGTTTGGTTTTTGGTGTGGGTTTTTTCTTCATTTTCTTTCTCCCCACACATTCTTTTCAGTTAGTCACTTGTTAAGGCAAACTTGAATTATTTGTGTGCCTAACTTGGTGCTGTATTAAGAACATGGTCTGAAAGCAACCTGAAGGGCATGGGGGACTCTGTTTGTCAGGGAGAATTGTCTCGTATAGTGCTGCATACCACAGCATATGCTAAAAATGTGATTTGGTGATTTTCACAATTCTTCATCCTTTTTCAACTTGCAAATGTCATTTTTTTCCTTTTGAACTGACAACTGCCTCAACAGTACCTCTGTACCACACATATTAGGATGATGTATGATCAGTCCTCATCATCCATAAAAAGAAAAAGGGTTGTGTTTGTACATTACATCTCATATATTTTACAGTTACCTGTATCCTGATCTTGTCTATAACCTCTGGACTTCGGCATCTTTCTTGAGACAGAAGACAGTGATTTGAACACTTTCAGGTGATCTCTGACTTTCTGAATTATTTAAATCATTAAGGTATTCCACAAAACAGACTTCATTTACCCTGTTTATGAATAGATGGTATTATACTTTGCAGACAACTCAGTTCTATTATAGACATGCTGGGAATTCACATCAAAGGAAAAACTATTTATGTCCCAATGTTCAGATGAAAACATTTCAGCACATACTTTGATTTCTAAGTTTAGACACTGCAGGAAAATTTTGCTATACACGCTGCATACTTCAGACTGCTTTCCTGGCCTTGTTTAGAGCCTTACTTGTAACATGCAGGTCTCTAGGTTTGCTTGCTACTGGAAAGTGTTCCTGGATCTTCTTTGGATTCCAGTTATCACATACCAGAGAACCTTGTCCTTTAAAGGGCAAGATAGTACTGAATAGTGTATTTCCCATTCTTGACCTAAGACTACTACCCCAAAGTAGTAGCAAAACAATCTAGTAAAAGAGATGCCACTTTCAGTTTGATACCACACAGCATGAAGTTACCAAAATAAATAATAGATGTGAATCTAGAAGTTCAAGGTTCACCTTGGTATTTATGACAAAACTACCCAACCAGCACTTCACTAAGGCACAAATCTTGTATCTGGGTATCTTAGATGATTGCTGAAGTATTTACCAACATAGTTATATAGTTTGACACGAGACATATAATTTCAAGTAACCTCAAGTACAACATCTTGTACAACATAATCAGATGTCCTTATAAATGCAATGAAAAATCTAATGGGAACAGCTCATTTTTTTAGCACTGAGCTGTTAATACATACAGTAGAATGCATTGATAGCATGGACCGGGTTGATTAACAGAAAGCACTTAAACTTCATTGTCACTTTCTGCTAATCAGCTTAAATCCTTCTTCTCCACTCCCTTCACTCTGATTACAAAGGGCAAAACCCAAGAGAACTGAGTTCAATCCCCACTTTATTCAAGGCAGAGCGGGGGAAAAAAAGTAAGTTCGGTTAAAACACTTTTTAGCTCCAACCTCTAGAACAGAGCAGTAATTACAGTCTGAAGTAATGAAAGAAGGATACAGAACAAAACAAGAGAACTTACTCTTTAGAACCTCAGCATCAAGAGGGCATAAGGTAGTAGCATAGTACTAAATATTTATCACATATATATTTCTTCAGTAAAAGCTCTATTTGAATTCCCCTTTTTGGACCCCAAAATAACTTTATGCAGAGCAACAAGTGCCTCTAATTGGTGGGCAGGGGAGGACTGAGGAAAGACTATTATTGACTCCTAAAATCCAGCTAGCACATCCCTGTGTTTTGTAGGAAACAACACTCTGATGGTTCTACTCCAATAATGGAAAGCTGAAAAGATTTTTCTCCACAACAGTTTGGTTCTATCAGACTACTCTCATTACTTTTGCAGGTCGGGCTAGGAAGAGTTTCTCCTCTCTATCACCAGAAAAAAACCCAAATTCTTCAAGTTTTTAGTTTTAATCACTTCATCTCAGAGGTGAGCTTAACTAGGACAATTCAGTTACGGCTTTTTGTCCAAAGCTTTGGGAGGTGGGAAGCAAATACTTTCACAACATAGTTAAGAATCTCATCAGGTATCCCCAGAGTCCCAAATAACTTGAAAGGAACTTAGGAAGCACTATTTCAGGCTTGAAACATTAATAGAAGAGTTGAGACTGGAGAGACAATTCCCTGAAGTATGAGTTGATGGTAGTTTCTAAACAGAACTGACATTTCATGTTACTATTAAGAACCATTCCTATGACCACCTGCAACACCTGAGAGTTAAATGTAAATGACTGAGTTGACAAAGACAAGCTACACTACAGCAAGATCCTTAAAGGCTAATACTGTTGTAACTGGCTACACCTGTACAAAAAAAAAAAATCCTAAAGATCCTTGAGCTGTATTCTCTGTGTTCTCCAAACTGTCTACTTATTCCTCCTTTTAATTTAGCACTTATTAAATACAACATCCTATCCTACAACTTGCAACACATGTGGCCCATAGGCCCAGGTCTGGTAATTACAGCTGAGAAAGCTGTGAAGATTTCATTCTCAGACTAGCAAGTTAAGAAATATCTAGATACAACAACTGAAGGAAACTGACTTAAAGAAAGCTGTCATAGATACTTTAATACAACTAGGTATTTAGACTAATGTACACAGTATCAGCTTAGACAGCTTTTAATGTAAGAATGCAACAGAATCCTTTTCTATACAATATTCACATAAGTATCTATTGCACATACAAATCCCACATGCACTGTTCACAAACTGAACTGTGACTTAGTCTGAACAAAGAAGTCTTCAGAAGAATAGAGAAGATGTCTGGCCTTCACCGCTCAACAGGTCAATCCTATATATAGTCTTTTTATTTCCCCTTACTCAGGGTACTGTTTATAATATCTTCATAGCCGAATCTAAGCTATGCTCTATTTAGCTGTATTCTACAAGCCCTCTTTATACTCCCTGTATTCACCACTACAATGTATTCTAAGCTTTACTCACTTCACCAGAGCTTTAAACACTGTACCTGGATAGTCCTTACCTTATTTATAGCTGTGAGAGTCCTACAGAATATACCCATTTTAGCTCTTTTACTTGTCTTTAAGCTTGGAGACAACACATAGGAAATTGTGTTTATGCTATGCTTATAACCTTTCCCACTGAAATGGTGCAAGAGGCAAGATGATAAATTGATTGCTTGGTCTGCAAGACAGGAAGCTATCATACATAGCAGTAGACTGTAGTGAAGGCCGTGTATTCATCAATTTTAGAGAGTACACACATAACAACTGTGAGCCACTGAGTGCAGGTGTTAGCCAAACCTGCTTCTCATCACTGCATAAACTAGTTTATATAGTTAATGCAACTTCTGGCAGAAAGTCTTGCCTACCTGCCTTTGAAAAGCGAAGTCTGACATCATTCTTCCTTTAGAGGAGTGTGTATGAGAGGGGGATGCTGTTGGGTTTTTCTTTTTTTTTCATATACATTCAAACTGAGTGCTGAAATTCAGTGCTGAACTGAAATACAGTTTACAAGTTTCTGGGGTTTTGTTTTTGTGAGAGTTATTTGGTTTTGTTTGGTGCTGGTATTCCTTTTTTTCACTGATTTAAAAGAAAAATAGACATGACAACACACAGCAAGGTATTAACATGTTAAAAATTTTAAGGCACATTCCAACAAAATAAACTTTTATTGAATGCAATATTAGGCATTCTATTTGTTTAAGGGAACAGTGCTTCCCCCCCAAAGAGATTCCCTTTGATAGTTTCCAAAAGCTGTATTTCAGTTACAGAAATATTTCTCATGATTAGAAACATCAAACTTAAGTCTAAATTTTCCTTGAATTACGAAGTGCAACTCAATTCTTCCAAAAGATAACAGTTTTCAGTAGGCACTAGAACAAGAAGCCTGTAAATTGTTTACATTTGCTGGGTACAATGTTGTGTTCATTCAAATTTTATACTAACCCATCTAAATGTTGTTCTTGAAGAATTATATAAAAAGGGAGATTTAAGAATAAAGAAATGCAGCTTAAAGAGCAGGTTATCACCATTTAAAAAAAAAATCTTAATGGCAACCTGCATATTTAATATCATTTCCACAGTATGTCAGCTTAGCAGAGGCTTAGTCCAATAATTTAAAACTTTAGATAGGAATGTCTTTTGGTTCTGAACAAAGATCATAAGTCATCATGTCCAGTATGTGAAGGCTCAGTTTTTTCACTCTCTACTTCCTCTCCTGTGAAAATAAATATCACAGTTAGAATAACAATCTACTATTAATTATACCATATGATTTTTGACGTTCAAATCTTTTTAAGAGAAACCCAAAACATGTTTTATCAAGACCAGAGAAGGAATTATAAACCATACAGAAGAGCTACTTGCACCATCCTCCTAATATAAGCATACTTTTTTTTTCAGATGCAAACAAAATATTTCAAATATACTAGTATTGTACTGTTAGAGGAAAGAGAAAAAAAATCAGCACATATATCTCTACTCTAATCTTTTGTTTTCAGCTATTCACAGTGAATTTTCTCTTTTCCACATGACCCATCAGGAGAAGTTCTGGTATTTGAAAAAATAAGGTAAGTCTTACTTAGAATTGTTTTCTATAGTACAACTGCTCCATTCAGATGTTAAAACAGCCTTTAAAAAAGGAGAGTGTTTTTATTATACTGGGAAAAGTATTATCTAAGAAAAAAAAACTAAGCCCATTTGTCAACTTTTCATTTTACTTTTAGTCTCATAAAATGTCAGGCCACATTAAAAACACAATAACTGATATTCTGAGTATCTGCACTGGACAAGCACATAACTGATTTTAAAGGACTAATAACAGTACTGAGACTATAAGGTATGAACTGAGTGGCCTTGAGTAGCAATACAACACAGATCTTTACAACTTATTAGCACAAAAGCAATAAGTAGTCTTGGGGATGGAATGAGGGGACAAAATAACCAAACAAGCCAAGAAACACAAAGAAAATAAAGGTATGAAATTCAGTGTCTCTCATCTACTCTTCTACAACTGTTATTGCAAAACAATTCCAGTTTTCACTTTCGCATTGTAAAAGAATCCTAGATGGAGTAATGAAACATTTATGAATGTAATGGTGTCCATAATATGTCAACAGATTCTAGAAAAAAATTACACTTGAATTTCTTGACTGAAGGTATAGTTTATGTCAAGCTAAAGAGTTCCATACTACAGAGAGACCACAGCTGTAGGATGATGAGAAATTATACAGAGGAGGTTACAAGCAACTAGACCCTTAGACTAAAATAGAACTCCACGCTGTCAATGTAGTGTATTTTTTAAAAAATTGTCACTGAAAAGCTACTTGCCTGGTTTTACAGTTTGAACACATGTGCCATCCTTATCTTCAAACCCTTCTGAACATACACACTTGTAACTACCTGATGTATTAACACAGTCTTGATTCTCTTTTATGCAGACCTTTTCAGGAAGGTTACATTCATCTATATCTAGAGATAGAATAGGGAAAGAAGGGTCCACTGCTGTTATTTTGTTATAAAACTTACTCATTCTCAGTCATATAAACAAAATTCTATTCAAATACCAAAAAAAAACTTAGGAGCAGAATGCTGCTGCAACAGATTTAACTTCTGTTAAAATAAGCCGATTCTTCATGCTTTACACTGTGTTTCAAAGTTATTCAGATAGTACTGGGGTTTTTTTATGTTTTGCAGGTCCCTGTGTGGGGAAATGTACTAAGCAATTACATTTGTCACAATTAAGCAATTCCTCTTAATCTACTGAACATTTCCCCCACAGTCATTTTCTATTTATGCCATCAAAGTATAGCTAAAGGGAACAGAGCCTGTAAATACTACATCACAGTTAATAGCTTCTTAAGATTATGTGTATGTTCTGCTCTTCCCCCCCCAGAAAGTCTATTATCACGTTATAATTCACTATGAATGAATATCATTTGAACTTGGACATTAATGGATTAACAGAAAGGCAGCAGAATCCACACTGCATTCCAGCCTTTCTGTTACAAAATGAATAGACACGCACACCTGATGAAGTGGCAGATGACTGAAAAGAGACTTATGTGGCTGTTTCCCAAACATGCTATATAATACTTTTTGTTCCTTTGTACGGATGGTTAATTTTAAACCTTGTAAAGCATATTATCTCAGTAATATACATGAAGTTATTACAAATATCTTCGCATCCAGTACCAGAACAAATGGGTTGATTCTGACAGGCTTGGAAATAGAAGCACACAAACATGAACACACTTATCTGCCCCTCAGCATGGCTACCCAAGAGTGAGTTAACCAGTGGTCTACCATGTACTGCTAAATCCACCAACCTGTACACTTTTCATCTTCCTTCACATATCCAGATGCACAGGTCTTACATTTGTCAGAACCTTCTCCCGTGCAACCTACACAGCTGGCATCACATCCTAAAGTATTTTATGAATAAAAAAAATTATATATCTGAGGTTTAAAATACCCCTCTTAAAGCCAGGCAGCTTACCCACATAAGGAATCCTTAAATGGTCTGGGCTGGGAGTTGACCTTAAAGATCATCTAGTTCTAATACCCCTGCCATGGGAAGGGACACCTTTCACTAGACCAGGTTACTCAGAGCTCCATCCAACCTGTCCTTGAACACTTCCAGGGATGGAGCATTCACAGCTTCTCTGGTTCAGTTCCCCACTACCCTCACAGGAAAGAAGTTCTTCCTAGTATCTAATATAAACCTGCTCTCCTTCAGTTTGAAGCCATTCCCCCTTCTTCTGTCCACTACATGCCTTTGTAAAAAGTCCCTCTCCATCTTTATTGTAGGCCTCTTTAAGTACTGAAAGGCTGCTATGAGGTCTCCCTAGAGCCTTCTCTTCTTCAGGCTGAACAATCCCAGCTCTCTCAGTCTGTCTTCATAGGAGAGGTGCTCCAGCCCCTTGATCAAAGTCTTCATGGTCATCCTCTGGACCCACTCAAGTAGGTCCATGTCTTCCTTATGTTGGGGGCCCCAGAACTGGATGCAGTACTCATGCTGGGGGTCCCACAAGACCAGAGTAGGAATAAACGGAAATCTCTTGCTTTCCTCATACAATAGGTCAAAAGCCTCATCCTCCCCATGCCCACTCACAACCAGACCACACTGTACCAAAAAGCCTGGCATCATGCCCTTTTTTAGAATTACCTCTACCATTAGATTAGGATTCTAGACAGTAAAATACAACAGCAGATTACAAAGAAACCTTTGCACAAGAAAGATCCATCTGTGTTCAAACAATACTGGTGATCTTTGCAAGGAGAAGAAGCACACTCATCTAAATCTGAAAGATAAAAAGTGACAAGTTACCTAAGACTTTGAGATCAGATGTGCAACATGTTAGACATAGAAGCTGCATGGTAACATATACTGTTTTGTTCAACATAAAACTGAATTTAAAAAAAAAAAAATCAAAACTGATCCTTAGAAGATGTTTTTTGATGACACTGATGTATTAGAAATTCAAGAGCTCAAGTTGAATGAACTCCCATAACACCTGCAGTCCTTGTAATTTTCAAGTCAGTCATTTTCAAGTCATGTTTTATGCTTTTTATGCAAATATCACAACAAACAAGCAGACACACTACTGTTCTGGAATACTCTCCTCTACTCCTACATTACCATGCTATTTTAAGCATTAGAAAACTTATACAAATGCACACATATACACCTCTTAGTTTACTATATAAAGCAAATTGGAGCAAACCAGGTTATGGTTAGGACTGGCCAAGTGAAACCTTCTATCTGGAAAATTAAAACATGCTAGTCTTGTGATTTCGAAGAAAGGGCACAGCAATATTTAATTAAAAAAATTCAGACAAAGAAAGGCTATTTCAGTCCCCTTGCTGTCACTCTCATCCTGTTGCTGCTACTGATCCTATCATTCCTACTGATTACTCAATTGAGTTATACTTGATTAGTGGCGATGATTATTTGGAATAAAACAGCTGTACAGAAGACAATACTAAAGCATCTTAAAAATGCTCTTGGAGTATTTCAATAGTTGCCTAAGCAGGCACTGCAGGAGCTGTAATTCCAAGCCCAGTTCTCACCAACACTCTGAAGAGGAAGCAGTGTTCTTACAGTTTCTGAAATACTGTTTCCAGGCATTATGCTAAGGATCTTTAATGGATCAAATTCAACCAGTTAAACAGAATGTGTTACTCTCCCCTAGCGCACTCCTGCATTGGGAGCATTTTTAGTATTTGCTTTTTTTCCTGAAATGTTTCATACTTATCTCCTTACAAACCAAGTTAAATGCTAAGGTAGAAATAGGTAAGAGATTAATGGAAGGACTGAGCTTGATGTCTCCTGGTATTTCTCTCTGATAATATGAAAAGTTAGCAGACATAGCTTTCAGTGAAATGTTTGAGCTCCACTGGGGTCGAGCATTTATGACAGACAAAGCTATGTGAAGGTAGTTGTGCAATTACTACAAAGTATGTAGGTAAGTTCACAGGAATCTTCCAGTTGTTGACAAAATAGTTTAAATCAAGAGCAGGGCACTGTTTAGCATTTAAATAAACACCAGGAAAACCCATGCCTGAAATGAAAGGGTATTTCACCAAACTAAAAAGATCTACAGTAGTATCATAAAGACAAACAAAATCACCAGGCAATCAATGGTGAGAAAATACTGCTTTCCTGCAACACGGAACAAGTTAGGAAGAGAGAGACTACAAAAATTGTAGAAATCTAAACTGAGTGCGTCCATAAAATACAATAAAACTCAACGTGATATCATCTAATGTCACCAGCCAGTTACCACAAAACCTGTTTGAAGTCTGCCGAGCATTACTCACCCACACAAGCTCCACCTTCGTCTTTAATCCAGCCTTCTTTACAGTCTTGGCAGTCCTTGTTACTTGAACCAGTACAAGTTTTACAGGCAGCGTGGCAGGCTGAGAGTAGAGAAAATTACAACTTGAGCTTTGTTGAGAGATTACAAGACAAATTTGGGCACACAAACTCTCAAACAAAAATTTCTTTAGGATTCACTGGAAGCTATTATATTTTAAGAGCTTGAAACTCCCATTCACATCTCCATAAAGTCAAGATTTAATTTACAAACATGCAGCTCTATCCTACCAAAACAACCCCAAAAACCTCAAATACCATCCAAAGCTCCTGGAAGCCAAACCTGGCAATTACAGTCATCTGCACACTGAGAAGAGCACCATTCTATTGACTAGAAGTGGCAGGTCCAACTTCCAAAATATTTGGGAAGAGGAGATCAAGTAAGTAAACTTTGCTCAGCCTCTCAGGGATGGGACATAATAGTTCAAATATCAGACTGCAGTTCTACCTAATGAATCCTCACACTACTTCATTTGCAAGCAGCTGTGAGAGCAATGTGGAAATGATATCACTCTGAAGAGATTCAGAAGGAAATAAACTAGAAATCCAGCTCCATATGCATATTATACATATATATTACATGCATATATAACACATCATATATAACATATGCATGTTATATATAATAATATAAAAGAAATCATACAGTAGAATTACTACACAGCCAGATAAAAGAAAAAACAATATAGACTGTTGAGAAACAATTTATTAGACCCCAGGATCAGTAGGTTGTTGCAGAATCTCATAAGGGTGTAAAAACAGTTCAAAATCTGACCAATTGCAAAAGTTTACTCCTGTGACCTGACTTTGTTTCAAATTAATCTTAGACATACCTAACTGGAACCTAAGTAGTCCACACTACAGATCAGCTGTTTCCATGCCCATTTATTCTAGTTAAGCTTATTTGAGACATGAAGAAAACCTAGCTTTCAAAGTAGTCCAGTATGCAATAATTTCAGCTAAAGACTTTAACAGTATGAAGCAGAGGGAGAAAGACACATATGAGTTCTGCTTCTTAAATTAAAGCAGAAAAAAAAACTAAACTCAAGGGCAGTCTGGAAGTGTAACTTAGCAAAACCTTAGAATTACACCAAAGTGATCGACATGTCATTTATGCTTAAAGCTGAGTGACCAAACTATATTTTGTTTCTACATTTGTTAGTTTAAACTGCTTCTAGTTTTCTTTACAAAAACTGAAGAAGTAACACAAAGATATAAGTGTGTGTTAAGACTCCATTACCTGTACAAACAGAATGTGTCTCATTTCTCAAGGTACTGAAGTAACCACTGGAACAGTCCAAACAAAATTCTCCTGTGTACTCCTTGTTACAGCTACACGAGCCGTCTCCACCTCGGGTACCATCACCATCACAGTGGCCATTTCCATGGCAAGGTCTTTCTGACCCACCACGACAAGCTAAAAAGGATCAAAAATATTTTAAAGTGAGATGTTAAAGGAAATAACATCCTATTCTCAGACACAAGCACCTGAAGTCCCTCTCTCTTCTTACAGAGTAAAATAAAATGAAAATTAATAAAAAAGAGTCACATTAAATCAGGATATAATTTCAAAAGTCTTTTCTACCCTTGAGAATAACCAAAAGGTTTGCAACAAGGGAATGTTCAGTAATATACTCAAGTATAAGAGAAACTCAAAACAATCTCCTGAAAAGTTCATTTATCAATTTAATTTTGGGTAAAGATCACGGCTTAGAACTTTTGTTTTCCTAGCTTCCTAGATAAAGCTGGAATCTTTCCTTTTTCTGGATCTCTGAGAAGCCTGATATCCCAGTTGTAAATACCTACCAGAAATCATTTAGATCAATACAGGGAATGGGCACTTAATTTTTAACAATACCTAAGAGGTCAAAGTTGACCAATGTGCAAGGTTTAGAGATTTATTCATTAGACAAGCTTCAAAGGCCAAAATATCTCTTTTATCACTTTTGCAAAGACCTCACTTTCATCTACCACCTACTTTTACCCAATTTCTCTCACTTCCTTTTTAACTGATTCTCAGATGCAAATTTCTTAATTTAATTCCCCAGCAGTGTTTTGGTTGTTTTACTCTTGAAACTGAACAAGAATTCCTGTCTATGAAGCTTCTGTAAGGCCACCTAAAACCAGACTTGATGCCACAGAACGCCTTTAAGGATGGGTCACGTGTGGATGTGAGCATTGGATCAGATGTATTCTGCACATTTTGGTGCCCTTGATAGCTTTGTACATTACTTCATCCCCAGAAGACTTTTATTATGCAGGATATTCACAATTATCAGGCAGCAGGCAGGTACACGCTATACAGCAGCCAGTTCCTCATGAAAAATATCATACTTTGTGTATTTATCCATGTCAAGAAAGACTAAAGCAAACAGGTAAAAAGAACATATCTGTTACTGAATTTTTCAGAAGAAAAATTACCAAGGCAATCAGGTCCATAAGTTCCAGCAGGGCAGCAAACTTCTATTGTTTCAATGCAAAACCACTTAAACAAATCAGGATACTTCTTCTTTCTGTATACGAAAGACATTAATGTATAAGCAAAAAAGAACAAAGCCAACTCGCACAACTCACCCAGTACAACAAAGGAGAGAAATCTATTCCATAAGACAGATTAGAAACCTACTTCTTCTGAAGATGATCCTATTTCAGGAACCAGTTTCTAGAAGAAGTCCTTCAACTTGAACGTTTACCTGTTAAGCTACAATACTATTAACAAACTCTACTCAAATTTTATAGTTTATATTTAAGAAAAATGTGAAATAGGAGAAACAAATAAAATCAATTCATCTTCATACATACACAACTTTTTAACACCTTACTTTTAGGGAAGGTTTATATACAGTTTAGAGTGTCTTATTTTTGTCTTCCTCTTAAAGATAAATGTTGTGTCTTTATCTCAGCTATACAGAAGATAACCCAGGACAGACATTAACATTTGCTCATTGGCAACTTGACGATAGGGTTAAAGTTTCTCCTCTTTTTGAGCATTAATGGAATATTATTTTAGAAGGATTCTTTTTTAATATTAAGAAGTTAGTTATGTGCTACTTGAGAACTAGCATACTCCCCCAATAAACAATGAAATCACTTAATATAATTTGGCAAGCAATTATGAGGACGACTACAGCTCTGAATGACAGTTCACAGACCTCAGTATTGTTGATGCTGAAGTCCCAAAAACTTTTTAAGAAATGACATAGATATAAGAGTATTCAGCAACTCTCAAGGCATGTATAGCTTATCTTTCTAAGCTATTACATCTGACCATATCAACTCTCGGACCCTGAAAAGTAAATTTACTGAATGTACACAGGAACCAAAGAGTCCTTTGCAGTTTTATGACAAAGGGAAACAAATACGGGACTAAACCTCAGAGTTTTCCAGTGTCAGTTTGCCTCAACACCCCAATGGCAAATGAGTATACACAGTGTATGAGAAGTGAGACTGGATGCTTTGGTGCAACACTGTTGGAACTGAAAATCGAAAAGAACATAGCGCAGCAGCACATGATACTAAAAGTCACCTGAACCCAGCTGTACCCAACGCCAACTCTTCACGGATAATGAAGAATTACCCATACTGCTATTATTCAGGCACAAGATTAAATGTTAGTAGTTCATCCTCTTAGATAGCTTATTCACACAGAGATCTCTACCAAAAAATTATACGTACAATTTGAACCACCATTTCTCTATATGTTCTTCATGCTCTTCTACCATGTTGTTGCATTCGAAGTTACTACTGTCACACAGGTTCTCTGTGATTTCTACAAGACGAATTTCGCTATAAGCAGAGAAGGAAAACCGTAAATTTAATTTGAACATTCAACACAATTCAAGACATGACAGAGCCAGATTTCAGCCTAGAATATTTCATCTGTTTATGATGTGTTCTGATTTAGTTCCAAAACACAGCAAATATCAGAATAAAGAATGTTACTTCAATCAAAAAAGAAAATAGAAGAATGACCACTAGACCCTTGTGGCTTACTTGCATTTATTATGCCTGCAGATTGTAGGTTTGATAGATTTTTAGCTTCCCAGAAAACTGGAGTGCAGTTCTCTTCTCTTATATTCAACAATAAATTTCACGTATTGTTAATATTTGATAGAAGCCCATGAAGCTCATAGTAACATCTCAATGCTCCAACTAAGATAAGAAATGAATTTGAAATTTAGGAGAAAGACATCAGATTACTTTGCTCTGTAATCAAACATGTTATATATAATTATACATATATATAACAGAAGACAGTAAGCTGTTTTCTGTTTGGCACTGAAATAGTGACAACTCTAAGGGGGAGATAGTGCTTTAATTCTAAAACAAGTATTGTAGTACTCTGCACCTTTTATGATTATCAATAAACTAGTGACCATTATTTAGGATCACTTTTTTAGGATTTTAATGGGTACATAGAAATAAAGGCATTAATAAGGGATTTCAGTCTTTACTGTAATCTTTACCTTAAAATGTAATGTAACAGTTTAGTAATTAAGAATTTAAGGTTTGGTCAAGCAAAACTTCAGTTCAATATTTAAGTTCCAGACAAACACTTGTACAGTGGAATTACATATAGCGGACACAAAATGTAGCTGAATGAGAAGTACTGAGACAACTTACCTGGACTCATACTTTGACAGCGTCTTCTCTTCCCAAGCAGTGTTTCCACCACCAAAGTTCTTTTTAGCTGTATCTGCTAAGCCCTACAAATAAAAAGTACCAAAACCAATGTAAGGTTTGTTTCTAACAAAAAATAAGGGCAATAATAGATGCTTATATAAAAATTGTGAAAAGCAACATGCAGGAACTTCAGCAAAGCTCTGAAGCTACTGATCAAATTGCTAAGTAAAAGAAACAGCTAGTGACAAGATAAGAAGTGAGAAAGTGTATGTTACAACATAACATGATTTAATGTTCCTATTGCATAAACAAGGCCTTGATACAGTTTTGATTTACAAAAACGGCCATACATGTAAAAAACTTTATACCCTTCTCCTTTAAGTTCCCAGAAACTTTATTATAATCAGCGGAACAGAACCTCTGCTTCATCCAGCTTTGATAACACAGCCCAGTCTGCACCGTGTTGTAACTCCAACGCCAAGCGGTACAAAAGGGCGATCACACAACTGTCCCCAGTCCATAGCCAGTGCCACCAAACCACACCTCGCAGAAACCTCCGCAGCTGAAGTGACCCCCCGAGGCCGCAGCACCCGAGAGGCGCGTACCGAGAGCATCAAGCACCTGTCACCAGGCGCAGCGGCCCTTCGCTGCCGATGCCGAACGTCCCGTGTCACAGGCACGGCTGCTGCAGGTGGCAACAGGTCGGTAATGGTGTTTTCCACCAGCATTCCCCGCAAAGCCGGGCACACTCCACCCGAGCACGGCCAGCACCAAAACACTTTGGGCTGCAGAGCTGGAGGAGCTCTGCCACCCGCTTCAGCACCGCGACAGCGGCCGGAGCGGGACCCGCCGCGGTCCCGTCACTCGCCCAGGCACTGCCGAGGACGCGGCCCTGGCGGAGGTGCTCCCGGAGCGCGACTCTGGGCGCAGCCGGCCCTGCCGGGGACCGGGGCTGCCATTCGGCGTGGGGCCTCCGCAAGCCCCCCTGTCCCACGGCAAGGCCGCCCGCCCACCCCCTGCTCGGCCCCGCCGCCCACCTGGTTGAACCTATCCACGATGCCCCGGCAGGTGGAGCACGCCAGGCGCCGCCGCTCCCCGGCGCCGCGGGCGGCGGGCGGCAGCAGCAGGCAGGAGGAGGGCGGCGCAGAGCAGCGCGGCCGAGGCGGTGCGGGCCGGGCGAGCGGGCCCCGTGCGGGCGGCGGGGCCGGGCCCCATGGCGAGGGCGCGCTAGCCCGGCACGCGCAGCGGGGCAGCCCCACCGAGCCCCCTCAGCGCCGCCGCGCGAGCCCCATTCAGATTTCCGCGTCAGCCGCACGCGCGCCACGGCCGCGGGCGCTCGTTGGTGGAGGCGGCGGGAGCCGAGGAACGTGGTCCAATCAGCGCCCGCCACGCTCCGGGCCAATGGGAGCGCCCCGCGTGCCGGGCGAGCCGAGCGGGGGGCGCGGCCGAGCCGTGTGAGGGAGCGGCGGCCACCGAGCCTGGCGCGGCCCCGCGGCCATCGTGAGAACGGGCAGGCGCGGGCTCTGCGGGGGCCTCGGGCCCGCCGCCATTTGTGTTCGGCAGCTGCCGCCTCCGAGACCTCCCGTTGCCGGGGGCGCGCCCTGCCCTCACCTAACATGGCCGGCTGGGGAGCGGGTCACGTGCCCGCGGGGCGGGCCCCGCCACTCGCGCGCTGCTGGCGCTCTGCGCGGGGCGGCCACGCGGGCGCGCGCGTGGTGAGTGCGGGCCGGGCCGGTCCGGGCTGTGGGCGCTGCCCGGGAATGCGGGGGGGGAAGGAGAGAGGGAGGGAGGGAGGGAGGGAGGGAACCACCGAGCGGCCAAACGGGCGCAGGGTGTCACCGTCACAGCCCGGCTGCAGCCGGCATGAGGGCGTTCCCGCGAGCCCCGCCGGGCGCTGCGAGGCTGCCACCCCAGCTCTCCGCCTCCCGGGCGCGGGAGCTGCGGCGGGAGGGAGGGAGGGAGCGGGGCCGGGCAGAGCGGGCAGCCGCCTCCTGAGGGGGGTGCGCGGTGCCCGCCCCTGCCGCGGGGAGCCGGGCCGGCCTCGGGGGCTGCGCCGGTGCCGCAGGGTTAGCGGGTGGTGGTTGGTGTCGCCCCCCGCGACACCCCCGCCTCCCGGGCCGTGTGTGGCGTGTCCCTGCCGGGGCCGGGGTGCCCCAGTGGCCATGGGGGCGCGGGGAGGGCCCTTGGGTTGGGTTTGGGTATTTTTCGGTCCGGAGCGTTCTGTGCGTTTCTTCCCTGGTCCGAACAGTGAGTGACATTTTTCCGCAGCTTCATCGCACCTTCGTGTCTGGTGCCGTCCCACACTTCGTTTCTTGCCTTAACTTTCTCTTCTCTTTTTGTCTTAATTATTTTGTTCTTTTAGACAATCCCCTGATGAGTAAGTATGTAAAACAATGGTAACTGTATATTTTTTTTTAGAAAAGATGAAAAAGCAATCTCGGCAATTACATGGTTTAAATCTGACCTATTGAGAAGTTAACTTCAGAGCAAAGTTGTAAGAGTTATTAAAGCATAGGAAAGAAAAAAATGAAAATTTAAGATGGTACAACATAGGCTTTGCCAAAGCTAGATCAAGCCAAAGAGGGAGAACCTTATGGTGGGATGCGCTTTGTGGTTCTGCTTAGATGTCTCTGTAGACAGATTTAACACGCAGTTTGGCTGCCAGAATTGTCCTATTCATAGTGAAGAATGTCTGAAAAACATAAATGAGCTGAATATGGTAGGTTTTTCATGGGAAGAGTAAGAAGTCCATTTGAACTAATGGCACTTCCACTGAAAAAGTATAGAACAACAATGGACCGATGTTGATGAAAGTACTTCAGCGTTGGTTGTTGGTTTTTTCAAGCAAAAAAGCCAATTTTTTTTCACCCAGTTTATTCGCAAGAAGAGATGAATTCTTTGTGTTGAAGAATTGCTGCTCTTCTGTGATTCATTCATGATGTAGGCATCTGGGGGAAGTCAGTGTGGGTGCATTTTAGAGGCTTGAGGATGGTTCCTCTGAAGTTGTCAGACTGTTAACAATGGAGAAATCTATATGTATTTGCTTACGATTATTCCTCTACAATTCATTATTAAATTACTTATTAAGTGACATCTGTTTCTGTGGTTTTGACATTAAAAAAATAAAAACTAATTGCAAGTATTTTGCCTTTATATCAGAGATTTATTTTGATCATCAAATTCAATATCTACCTGTCTTGATAAATTCTGCTTGAATTTTGAGGCTTGTCAGCATCAATTTTCAGCAGAGCAAGTTATCTTGAGTCTTGAAAAGACAACTGAATTTATTAGGCTTTATCTCAGAAACCTGGATGTTGTCTTCACGCTTTGATTTTTTTATCATCTAGCATGTTTTCCTTCAGGGAATCTCAGTATTTGTAATGCATGTAATTATCTTCAAGATGTACGAGTGTACTGGCATGCTTACTTTCTTCAGGCATACAAAAAGATTGGAGTCAACAAGATAAAAAAAAGCTTTGTGATTAACTGCATGTGGGATGTGTAGCTTCACTTTCATTCTGATTTAGGAAGCTGGGGGCTGATTATTCAGGTGGTTATCAGCTAAAGATATCAGGAGCAGGCTATATTGTAGAGTGCTCAGAGGATAATGAACATAGTGTTTATAGATGAAGGTAAAAGCTCTTATGAAACTGATGTAGGTTAAGAAGGAAAAAAATAGAGCTTTTTGGCACTTGCGTTGTTTTACAAAGATTTTTTGGGTCCTAAACTATCTGAAATGTTAAGAAGCTGTGAATTGGGAGTGAGGAATACCTACCCTGCAGGTGAATGTCTGTATGCTGCTCTACCTGACACATAAGCTACTCAAATGCCCATGTTGCTTTGTGCTGTGGTGGATTGACCCTCCAGTGTCCATTTTTCTCCTTGGTAAGTTTGGCCAGAAACATAAGATGCCTCTGCATTTATTGGAAGAGTTGACCAAGAGTGCCTTCTAGAGTTTGTGCAAGATTAATTGCGTTGTGCAGAGGCTGAATTCCTGACGTCAGTCCTTTACCTCCTTTACTACTGCTGTGGAAAAAGGATTCTGTTGTTGCGTTATCCATATTTAACAATTTTTTTATGGAAGTAATATTAGGCACAGGTTTAAAAGACTTATTCCCACTTTCTGGGGTTTTGTTTTGTCTAGGCTCTTAACAATGCAAAACAAGGCAAAAATCATAAAGACTTAATACAGAACTCTCTGAGCCCAGGCTTAGAGCTTCAGTAACAGTCTGTAGCAGAGGCTGAGAAAAAGAGATGCAGTCAGTGAGATTTATAAAATAATATGCAGATACATGCAATTTACAGAGAGATCACAAATTTTAGGCTTTATTGGTGTTAATTGTGAATATAAGGAACGTGAACACACTTGTATTTAATTTTACTAATGAGCAGCACAAACATCAGTTAAGGAAAAAAGGTAGCTCTAGTGAGCAGTTGCCAACTATCTTACATCTGTCTGATGGACACATTTAGACCAAAAGATAGGAGAAAACATTTCTAACCAAAACCCCAATTGCACCTTAAAAGTGCTATTTTTGAAGTTTTGTTTCTGTGAGAACACAGCAAGAGTAACTAAAACCAAAATTATTAAATTATAAACTTAAAATGGGAAGCTTAAATTAAAAGAACAGGAAATAGATCTGTTCTGGCATCAACCTGGACACATGGTTTTATCATAATGATAAAATACAACAGAACTGCTACCATAAGAATGGCTCAGCAGTGTTGTGAAATAAAGCACTAGGGAGAGGGGGCCTTCATTTCTGGATAGAAATGTGAAGGATGGGGTGTATGAAGAATCAGACTGTCTGATGCCACAGTGACACATGGTGTAGGTGCCAGAGGGGATTCGTCCTTCGCTTACTGAGTCCAGACCTTGCTGCTGGCAAACTCAGAAGATCAAAGTACTCTGTTCGGAGAAATTCCTCATCCTTGTGGTTCCTCTCCCACTGATTTTGGAGTCCTGGACAAACGAGAGAGCATGTTCTTAAAATCATGTGTAAATTCAGTGTGTGATTAAAGTGAGAATAAATAACAAAGTTGTCTCTCCCACAGTGTGCAGACATAATTGAGGTGATGCTTCGTTTAAACCTTTTCACTACTGGAGTACATTTTCCCTGCATTATCAATCTCTTCGGTTCTACACTTCATGCCATGTTAATAATGTGTTTTCTTTTTATTTTCTTTTCAATAATAATAGAATATTTGTGAATTTCAAGCTCAAGATGGCTCAGAAGAGGAGCTCAAGTGGGCGGTCATTCCCACTGCTGCTGCTGCTTATTGTTGTGGCTTTTGTCCATTTAACTGTCTGTCCTTTCACAAAAGTGGAGGAAAGCTTTAACCTACAAGCTATCCATGACGTGGTGTACCACCAGCTGGACTTGGATAAGGTAAATTGAAAAGTATGTCTTCATGTTTGGACACTGTTAAAGATGGCAATTCCCTGTACTATGAGTAGGATAAATGCAGTATGAACATAATTTATTTTCCTTTGTTTCTGATTTGCTTATCTTACATAGATTTTCCTTTTTGCAGTATGACCATCATGAATTTCCAGGAGTTGTCCCAAGAACGTTCCTTGGACCAATTTTTATTGCTGCCCTTTCCAGCCCAGCTATATATGTACTTTCTGTGCTAAAAATGTCCAAGTTTTACTCCCAACTGATAGGTAAGAGAACTTCAGAACAGAGATATTTTTACTGCTGCACTAATGGGTGACATCGTTGTTACATTCAGTGTTTGGATCAGTCATTAAAATGTGACATTCTTTTTTTTAATGAGGGACTTTGCCAACTGTAGGTACTTAGGGCCAGCATGGCCATTCCACTTCCTCTTTGGGGAAAAGTCTGTGTTAATAAATGTCAGATAGTGTAGAAAAAGTGAGTGCCTCAAGTGTCTTCACAGAATACACTCCTGTGTGTTCTGAAGCATTCTTCTTGTATGCTTCAAAAAGTATTGTTTAACTTGGTCATAGAAGCATTGGCCTTTGTGCAGAAGCACCAGACCAATTAAAGATGGATTAGAATAGATAAACTAATGAGGTTTTGTTTGTTTTTTTGTTTCTTTGAAGATGGTTATATTGTGGTATCTTCAGTATTATTCTTCAGAACTTTTTTGCATTAAATTATATAACATGGCTGTTCATCACTGATCTGTCTGATACTGCTCTTTAAGTCCCATTTTTATTCTTCTAATAGTCCGAGGAAGCTTGGGGCTCAGTGTGATTTACACGTTATGGAAGCTGCAGAAAGAAGTTAGAAAACAGTTTGGAGCAACTACAGCATCAATCTTCTGTCTCATCACTGTTACTCAGTTTCATTTGATGTTTTACTGTACACGAACCCTCCCTAATGTGTTTGCGCTTCCTTTTGGTAAGTATTTCATGGGCATAATAATTTTTTAACATATAAAACTTCTTCCAAAGGCATCATAGTTAAAGCACAGAAAAATTATGGTCAGAATAAATAATGCATGTGCTTGATTAAATTGTGTGATAGCAAAACTAGAAAACTTTAGTTGAGATTTCTTCCTTTATTTTAATCATGCTTACAGTGACTGTTGAATTGAGTTTTATTGAATCTGAGTGTATGTGGATTGTGTCAGATGGCTTTGAGTAGCTAGAAGTTTGAGTACACATATCTAATGCATAAAGCATAGAGCTGTTGAAAAGGCAGGAGGTACACCTGCAGTTCGAAAAAACCTGTGAACTTAGTGTACACAGGGAATGACTTTCTCATGAGACTGTGGAACAAACTTACTGCAACATCTCCGCTTTCCTCTTCTAGAGGTATCTACCAATGCAGCAGTTTCTACACTAAAAGTAAAAAGAAGAAAAAATCAAAGTCAAAACCCTTCTCTACACATACAGTTTTCCCCCAGAGATGATGAGAAGGAAGATTAACCACGTGTGACATGTACTAGCTGAGTCACTAAATGTTTCAGTGCAAGTTGTTCAGCTAATAAAACCATGCGGTTGACAAGAGAACTGTATGGATCAGAACTAGGAAACAAAAGCAGATGAATTGTCAGATAAACACTGTGTAGTAATAAACATCTCAGATAATTTCTGCAGGTATTGCAAAAATATAAATTGTTTTATGGTGTTGTGCTGTCAGTATTTCACACATTTTCCTTAAGATCATGACTGCTTTACTATGCAGTGATTTAAAATGTGAATAAGTAGAGACACTTTCATGTGTAGAGATGTGGTGTGTCTCCAGCTAATCACTGAAATGAATTTGTGGTTCTTTCTCCCTGAGTAATAGTCTGTTGTCTCATTTTCTTATTTGAAATCCGTTGCTGTTATCATGAAAATAGAATATACTTAGCCAAGAGAATAAACTGACTGCTGAGCTGATATCAAGCAATAATTATGAATCATACTTTGAAAGGCTTTTAGTACTCCCTTAAGGTTTGTTTTTCTTTTTTCCCCCCTCAAAAGCTATTAAATACACTGTCTAGAAAAAGTTCCCATGTGTTCCTTCCATGGTTATACTTTTCCTAATTAAGCACCAGCATCATAAAGCTGTGCATTATTCCAAATTACCTTCCTCTAGCAGAGGAAAAATTTCTGGACTGGAAGTGGTATGAAGACTGAGAGAGGATTGGTGGGAAGTTAGAGGAAGAAGAAGATAGTGTGGAGAATAGTGTTGTCCTTTAGAAAAAGAATAATTCTGCATGTCGGGTGATGTGTGTTATGTTTTTTTTTTGCAGTGCTCCTGGCATTGACATTTTGGATACAGCAAAAGCAAAGGCCATTCATTTGGTTCTCAGCTTTGGCAATTATAGTCTTCAGATCAGAGCTCTGCATATTCTTAGGCCTCATGCTCCTGGTGACTTTATTAACTAAAAGAATCTCCATTTTCAAGGTGCTTTCCCATGCTGTTCCTGCTGGAATTTTTTGGCTGGGTAAGTGTTTACTTGGAAAAAATAAATGACAATAAATTCAAGAGACGTCTGGAGTTTTGACTGATTCCTGTTGTTTCTGTGGTAAATGTCCTGTAAGGTTGGTGTTTTTTCTGTGTGTGGTTTTTTGTTTGTTGTTGTTTTGTGGTTGGTTTTTTTGTTTGTTTTTGTTTTGGTTTTTTTTTTTTTCATTTTTTTTGGTTTCTTGTGTTAGGTTGGTGGTTTGGTGGTTTGTTTTGGGGAGTTTTGGTTGGTTGTTTTTTTTTTGCTTGGTTTGTGGTGTTTCTGTTTTTTAATAGTTTGATTCCATTTGCTAGTAATATGACAAGACTTTTTCTTTGAAAGTTTCTACGTGAGGAAATAGGTGTGCATGGAGCAGAGAAAGATACTGTGACCTCTGCCATTAGATGCTTACAGAATAATATCCTGATCTTAAAGAGGCTTAGATGTGCAAGTTGACTTCAGTATAATTAGTATCTGGCTGTAGCTACTTGTGCATGTTATAAGTTGTAGTATCTATTGCCATGGTGATAAGCTGAATCCCAGGATAAAATGCAACCGTGTGACAGAGACACCAAGCAAGAGGGTTGTGGGGAGAGCTACAGTTCAACTGTGTTCCTCTATTACATTAATTTTAACAGCTTAAGTGATCTCCATGCTAGAGAGGTTGAAAAATCCCATTGTCTCTACCCATCCATGGAAGATCCATGCATATGCACATACTCTGAGCTTCTCTACCAACCTCTCAATTAAAAATGTTGTTGTCAGATAAGTGATGATCTCTGGCAGTGTGCTGTCCTTTACACAGTGTGGACAATACAAACACTAAATGACTATGCCATGTGCATTTGGAGGCACCTCATGACATAAGAGTTTGGAAATCCAATGGGAATTAGTCACTGACGCTCCCATTTCCTATCTGAGTAAAATCCTTAAACACCAGAGTGGAGATGTGGAGTAGAAGAGATGGAGCTGATGGTTTTGCTGCTCTCCCTTTTTGCCTTTCATCCCTTATCCTCCTCCTACTTCCCACCAAATAAATAGTAGCCAACTTCTAGAGATTGCTTTTATTTACAATAAGAAATTATTTAGTACTGTTGGAAGTTAACTTGGGCTTCTTACCATTCATGACATTTAATGCTCTAAGCATTTGTTTTAAAACAAACTTCAGTTAAACCATTACTATTCACACCTGGGGTTGGAGTAGGGTGAATCCCAATGGATTAATATCTAACATGCTTTTTTAAGACTTCTGTTTAAGAAGTGCCTCCCTTCCCTGCCTTTCCTCTGACAGACATATTCAAACTCCTCTGTGGTTTTGGGTGAGGCTTACAATCCATGTTTCAGTTTATATTGATCTCATCAGAAAATGTGCTGTTTGGATATGTTAGTTTGGTTTTTTCCTAGTTTTTAATTCATGTGTGTTTCTTTAATTCTTTTAGGGCTAACAGTTGCTGTGGATTCTCTATTTTGGAGGCAACTTGTGTGGCCTGAGGGGAAAGTGCTCTGGTATAACATAGTTTTAAACAAAAGTTCCAATTGGGGAGTATCCTTTGAAACATCTGCAGAAAAATAATACTACCTGCCAAAGCAAAGACTTGATGTAACTTATTCCTGAGACTCAGGGTGCTAAATTCTACTATTCCTCTAGTATTTCGTTATTTGAAATCTGTGACAAAATGTCTGTCTCTTAAATCTTTCTGGAAATTGTAACTTTCCTCTTCTGACTGTTCCTCCTTGCCTCTTTGTGTTCTACCTATGTAAACCCAGGTTTCTTCCCCTTTGTTTTTCATGTTGCCTGTCACTAGTGCCATTTGATGTGCCTCTGTTGGGTGATGTGAATTATGTTAAGCGACTGCTTTTAGTTCTCTAAAGATGAGGCAGGAAACGAAAAGCCTGGAAAAGTGTGCGTACAAAAAGTATACTGCTTATTTGCAAAATTTGCATGTACTACTGTAAAGAATAGTTACTTTACTTGTTAACAGTGAAAACATCCTTGACTCTCCTTTTCACCTTGAAGACCTCTCCCTTCCTGTGGTATTTCTATTCAGCCCTGCCTCGTGCTTTGGGATGCAGCATTGTATTTGTGCCTTTAGGTGTAACAGAAAAGAGAACTCGGATTTTACTTTTGCCAGCACTGGGCTTTATTTTCTTGTATTCATTTCTCCCACACAAAGAGCTGCGTTTTATCATATATACTTTCCCTGTCTTCAACGTAGTGGCTGCTAAAATGTGCTCACGAATGTAAGTTCAAAATTCTGTTTGTTTGGTTTGGGGTTTTTTTTCCTCTGAAAATGCAAAAGAAAAGAATAATTATAATTACTGTTTTTATGCACTTTTCCCCATACTGGACTGTGGATCACCTTGAGATGTTCACATGCTGTAGAAAGGAGGTTGAGATCTGTGTCAATGTACCGAACCATAGAGAGAAGTGGAAACATAGAAAACTTAAATGTTTTGACAGGACCATTTGGCAAGTCTAGAACAGAGCTGAGAATAGAGCCCTGATTTTACTGTTATGTTGCTACAATTCAGTTTTCTTTATCCACCAGAAAAAAGGCACATTCCAGTGTACTCCTGTGCTGTTAACTTACCTCAGGAGATAGTTTAATATACAGGTGAGGCTCATCAAATATGGAGTTAAATAGTTTTAGTTGGGTATATTGAGTAAACAAATTGAAGTTAAAGTCTGAACTTCTTTGACAGACAATACATTCATAGCTAAAGGTTTTAAATGCAGAAATACTTAACTTTATTGATGAGCTTGTTTTAGCTTTATTAATGAGAATATTCTAACTTAAATGTCACTAGAAGTTAAATCTTTTAGAAATTGATAATCAATGCATGCCATACATGATTAATAAAATTTGCATTAATCTTTATTATCTAGCAATGAAGTTTCCATAACAGCTCTGTTATGGTAGTCAATGACCAGTATGAAAGAAAACAAGTTTATTCTTGTTTTTTCCTTCCTCAACAGTGTGAATAACTACCGGAGATCCTGGCTCTACAAACTTGGATCTTTCTTTGTTATAATGCATCTTCTAGTTAATGCTGCTTATTCAGGAACATCTTTATATGTTTCACATTTCAATTATCCTGGAGGAGTGGCAATTCAGAAGTTGCATGAGTTGGTACCTTCAACAGCAGGTATGTAAAGGTGTCTTGAGGGATATTCACCTAATTTTAATTTTAGGGTTTTTTGCTAGTATATCTTTTCATGTACTGGATACTACTTTTTCACACTAGCTACGTGCATCTTTCTTGTTACTAATTTTTTAATTTATTACTAATCAGAGTGTTCTTAAAAGAATTTTGAAACTGTATTCTGTTTATTTATGTAGATGTCTCTGTTCATATTGATGTGGCTGCAGCACAAACGGGAGTTTCTCGATTTCTAGAAATCAATTCTGATTGGAGGTATGTTATGAAGTATTTTGAGCTGAAGAAAGGAGTCTGCTTTTTCCTTTATTATATGTGTGCAAACACAGTTTCTGATACAGTGTATTTATTAAGCCAGGTCATGAACAATGTGAATCTTCAGAGAATTTTGGTGTCTGCAGTGCTACCATTTCAGAAATGGAGAATGACAATGGTTTGTTTTGTTTTGTTTTGTTTGTTTTGGGTTTTTTGTGTGTGTGGGTTTTTTTGTTTTGGTTTGGTTTTTTTGTTGTTTTGTTTTTTTTTTTTTGTGTGGGGGGGGTTTTTTTGGGTTTTTTTTTGTTTGTTTTTTTTTGTTTGTTTTGGGTTTTTTTTGTTTTGTTTTTGGGGTTTTTGTTTGTTTTTGTTTGTTTGTTTGTTTTGTTTTGCTTTTTGGTTCTGATTTGCCTAAATAGCTTAGAATCTTTCAAATGACAAGAGGAAATGGCCTCAAGTTGTCCAGGGGAGGTTTAAATAACATACAAGGAAAAATTTCTTCATGGAAAGCGTTACCAAGCATTGGAACAGGCTGTCCAGGAAAGTGGTGTAATCACCATTCCTGCAAGTGAATATGACACCTGGGGACAAGGTTTAATGGTGAACATTGTGGTGGTGCTAAGTTGATGGTTGAACTGGATGATCACAGAGGTCTTTTCCTACCTTAACTCTATGATTCCACAGACATCAGAAACAGTACAAAAAATTATTAGCTTACTAAAGTGCCAATATATTTAATGCAGAACAATTTATATAATTATGGGGTATCTTCTCATTTTGTTTGTCTTTGAATAATGTGTGGTGATGTGAGGCTAATGTACATATTAATGTTGAAAGTCTGTGTGGAACATCCTTCACGTAGATGGCATTGAAGCTGCTGTTGCGGACACGTTCATTAGCTCTGAGAGAAGGATGTTGAGTGCTTTGTTACTATGACCAGCAGTGATAGACAGTTTTAAAAATCAGAATATTGGAATGGATAGTATGAGACATTGTGGGAGGGCATCATTTGCTATTCAGGATACAAACCAAAAAAGTAGGCATCTTTCTGATTCTTAGGCCTACCTCTTCTGGTGAAGTACAGGTTTCTAATTTAATATGTCATCTTAATGAAAATGACTCACTAGAAAGTGACACAGAGCCTCCCTTCAAACTGCACAAAACAAAAGCAATACAAGCAAATTTTGTTTTAAGAAGTACTCTGAACATGGAGTTCTTTTTACCCAGTTACAGTATTCAGGATCAGATGAACATAATTTAACTATTGGTATGTTTAGAGATAAAAGTACTTTACAAATAATGCAGAAGAAGGGAGAAGTATGCTGGGAGAATTACAAAAATCATCAATCTTGCTGTGCTTTATTTTATTTTCAGGCTCTCTCATGATGGTACAGATAGTTTAAAGCCTCCACAGTTACCCATGTACTGTTTATTTCAACTTTGGTTTTTGTATGTTCGATATAGAGAGACTTAAGCCACAAATCAGGAGGAGACATTAAACTGAGTACAAGGGATAGAATGTGCATGATAGCTAAAATATTCCCATCTTTGTTTTTTGACTAAACTTAAATATACACACTACTCTGAATACAACACTAATCTATAAATAGTGCTTCATTTGAATGAGCTTTTTGAGGTGGTGAGTTTTGGATTGTTTTGGGCTTGTAAGGCATAGTGTAGTGAGATTGGAAGGTGAATGAATAATATCCCTGTCACTGATAGATGTTTCATAGTGTTGCAACTACAGAGCAGTTTGTCTCTCACTTTCATCTCTACTCAGCAAAACAAAACCTCAAGGAAGGGCTGATTCATCATGAAGTTTCACATTAAAAAAATTAGGCACAATCCACAACTGAGCATCATACACGGGACTATCACAGTGTCTAACAGCACAGTACTGCAAAGTTTAGTGGCACCAACTGTCCATTTTATCCAAGGAAGTGACAGCCTTCAGATGGGGAAAACTAATTTACCATCTTCATAGACAGTGTATATCAGGCAAAAACAGATTTGTGGATGGGGTGGCTGGGAAGGCTGATGATTCATCAGGATAACTGCAATCCATAAATAAAAGTGTCTTAAAGGTAACAGCTTTCACTGACATGCTCAGATTAGATCTGTTTGCCTCAAGAAAAATGCAAGGGATCCATGATTTTTCTTCAAAGGTTGATTGAAAGAAGCTTGATGCAGCTTCTTACACAGGACAGGTGTTAACAATCTTCCCTTCAATTAGTGTAGTCTCTTTGAACCAGGAATAAATACGCTGTGTAAGCTTAAAGTATTTAAAAATAATAAAATTCAGAAATCCTTGCAGCCAGATGAAAGGCCCTTATTTGCTGATGAAGAAAATGCAAAATTAGTAGGTGGTAAAGTTGCTACAAAGTATGCCATTCCTTCTGCCCATTTGGACATGTGTACCATCCTAAAGGAGTATTGTGATATTTTTGGAAATAGCAGGTGAAAATCAGCATGCAATTGTTTTAGAAGAAGAAAGCACCTATTCCCTGTGCAAAGTCTAATTCTGCATTACATGGTGTATTTATTGACACCTGGATTCTGACAGCCTGAGGTCTTTTCTGAATTGCCAAAATTTTAGTTAACAATCCACACAAAACCTCTAGTTTGCTATGAAGTTCTTCCTTTGAATATCTTAGTGACTGCTATGTCAGGGAGCATTATAAAAATATCAATTGAGTTTGGTTTTTTTTCAGAGAATTCAGACAGATGAGAGGCCCAGACCTGCAAAGACTCATGTTGGCAAAGATGCAGGCTGGATTTAATCCTAGGTGCATTTAAGGGTATGTAGGGTTGGGATTGCACTGCTTCCCTGCCAGTGCCCACGTCTGCAAGGAAAGCCACAGCCCTGAGTAAGATGGTTGTGAAACGTGTGGGAGAAGTCAGGTACCAAAGAAGAGGAATGACAAATGCTGATAGAAAACAGTTAATAGAACAGAGCAACAGAAAGGCTGAAGAATGGGGCACTGCTCTTCACTTGGGTTACAGAGCTTAACAGTGGTGTGTGGAGTGTTTTGGGGTTTACTCATTTTTCTCCTTTGAAGTTGTTGGATTGAAGACTTGATCAGGCTGCTATATCCAGTATGAGTATCCTGACCCTTGGGCTATAAATTGTGCCTGAACCCTCCTTCAGTGAATGAAGAACTAACTATTGTGAATTTGAAGTGTCCTCATGAGACAGTGAGGGAGATGTATCTCAGGTTCTAGAAGATTAGAGAGGTTGATACAGCTTTGACAGATAATAATCTTCAGTTTTGGGCTTAGATCAGATGGAGAGTGACTGAAGCGTAGATCTTTCACATCCCTGCCAAATGGCTAAGTCACTTTTCTCATCCTGTAAACTCCCTAAATAGCTAGATTGAAGATAAGTCCTTTTATGAAATAAGTGTAAGTGTACCTGTTAAATAGTTTTAGAGCATGCTAGTTATTTTTTAAATGTATATAATTTATATATATTTTGGTACTTAAACAAGTTTATAAAAGCTGACTCAAAGTGACCTGCCCAAATAGGTAGTAGATCAGGAAGCTGAACTCAGAAATAACAAGTGCCAAGTTAATACTTTAATTGTCAGGCTGTTCTTTCTTTCCTACAGAGTTCAAGGAGGTCTTCTTGCTGGTATTCTCTGAGGCTTCTATTTTAATGTATGACTACCAGAAGGGAAAGGGTTCTGCTAAAGTACCTCATAATGTATTTTTTTAAAATTATTAAAAAACTCTGCAAACAAAAAAATCCGCACTTATCCAAACTGCAGTTCTGGTAAAGTCAACCTTAAAAATTAGTCCAGTTTCCTACAGTCTTAAGAGTTTAATGTCCTTTCTCCACAGAACTCAAATAGGGGACTAGTAAAAAATTTTCCAGGTATCCTGATTTATATCACAATTGCAGCAGAAAGATTTGCATGGAATGACCGAGTCCCTAAACTCTTCAAAAATACTATTTCCTCCTTTAGTACTAATTATTTAATCAAGAAATATAACTAAGAATGTTACAGTTCCTTTTGTGTTTTGAATGCTACATGCCCCTGTGATAATGGAGTTGTTTAATAGGTAAAGTGAGAAACATAAATAAAACCTTCTTTATTCTTTATAGGTATGACAAAAGGGAAGATGTTAAACCAGGAGACCAGTTGATGTTTTCTTACACACATATACTGATGGAAACAAACCCTCTTCAAATATCACATTACAAGACAACCCACAGGCCACTGGCAAATATACCTGGCATCAGTAAAATTGGGTTGAACCTTACTGCACTACCTCCTTTTACTTTAAACTTGAAACCAAAATTAGTACTGTTGGAAAAACTTCCTCTATCATCTTGACTGTGAATTTTAAGTAAGTCTTTTGATGTGATTTTGCTGATGACTGAACTGTATACGACAGCAGCAAATAGTCATTCCAGCACTGCAACTCAGCTTCTGTGGAAAGGCACCGAAAATCTTTGTACTAATTGGTATTTAGCTCTGTCTTGTTTCTTACATAAATATTACAGTGCATTCTTAGTATATACTCAGTATACTGAGTTGTATTGTTAAATATGTTTGAGAGAGTTACCTCCAAGTTTAGTGGTATTAAGTAAAAACTGTCTACTTGGTTTGGGTAGCTGTCTGTTTCACAGCACAGGTATGTCCTAATTGTCCTATTTAAAATACATAATGGAACAGGTTTGTGCTATGGCAATAATTTGATCTGTGATCTGTTTCTGTGTGCAAAGATGTATTAATGTATCTGCAGGATTGTAACTCCCTCAGCTGTCAGAGTGCCTGTGTGAAACCTAATGATGTTATCAACATAGGAAAGCCATATTCATTGTTAGCTTCATCATAATACCTAATAATGCCCTGTAGGCTACCAAACTAATTAAAGTGAAAGATTCACTTAAAAAGCAGTTGGACCTCTTGACAAATACTGTCTCATAACAGATTTGAGTATTAAGGATGATTATCTTCCAACAGATCGTGAAAAAGCAGTAACTTTAATTTCACAGGAAAATGGATTTTTAAAATAAGGTTTCCCCTCTTCTGCTGTAATGATACTATCTTAATTTGCAGTCCAAAAATTTACCTATGAAAATATTCACTTGAATACACTTTAAGATGGGTGCTGTTTTCCTTTTTTTACTAAGTAAATCCCTTTGGAAAGAAGTACTCTAATGTGCCATGTGCTTCATTCTGTAAACTAGAATAAGATTGCATGCTCTGTAGTCTCTTCTTTATTAGATATTTTTGTTAAGGATGTCTGCCTAGGTTGCTAAATGGAACAAGGAAGAAAAGAATTCTGGTTAGGCCAGTTGTAATATGACAAGACCTCTATTAGTGTAAAATAACAGAATTGCTGAAATTATCATGGGCAGAAAACTGTTCCCTGCTGAATGAAAACTTGAGTAAAACACAATTACGGAATAAAGTGGTTTGGTGGGGGTTTTGGTGTTTTTTTGTTTCCTTCATTAGTTGGTTGGTTGGTTTGGGGGTTTTTTTGACTCTTAAAGTGTGCTTGATTCAAGAACTACCTCTACCTGTGTGTATATTTCAGCTTTTGGGACCATGTTTTCTTTTTATCCTCTAGATTATGTATCAGAGGAACTGATCTGGTGGGGTGGAGCCTGCTCTCCCGTGGGTGGCTATTACTGTTGCCCAGGTTTCCTCAGCCTGAGCAGATCTGGCAAAAGCAACCTGCAGAACTTGTTGGTCCAGTCTCTCCCTGCTCTTGAAATTGAAATCACTCAAGTATTATCTATTTGACTTGTCTTTGAAAGAAAACTTAGCTTCCTCCAGAACCAGTTTGAACATTGAACAATTCCCATGAGACAGAGGGAAATACATGTGCAGATAGCTAGAAATTTAGAACCACACAGAGGAAAACTTTTGACTAAGGAGGTAGGTAGGCCTTTATGGTAAGGCTAATAATTGACTTTATGTAATTCCCCCACGCTGTAATCCACAACTCAAGAATCTAAACTAAAATTTATCCTGCCCAGGTGTATACAAATGTCTGCACTGCTGCAGTTAGGTCTATGGTTATTCCAGCTTTCCAAGTCTCTGGTTGTCGGAATCCTCTGCCGGAACTTGTCTTCTGTTAACTACAGAGAAAACCTAGGGCTGCTATGCTTGCAACATAGGCACCTCAAGCTAATGCCTGAAGTGGCACAGAGTGTGTGGAGATGAGACATCTGAAGAGTTTCATCTTGCTGAATGTCAGGCACACACACTGGCTTGGATCCTTCCACAGACTTTTATTCAGTTGTCAAGGTGCTGTTGGACTTATACCAGTGATGGTGTTCAGCTGTGGTGCTAATGTGTACTATTGCTCACCACTGATGGAAATAGAAGGGATCAGCTCAAATTGGCCTCTTTAGTTTATTTGTTTGGGGTAGAGAAAGGTAAAATACACACAAGAAGATAAGAAAGAGATACTGGATTGGTTTGCAATCCAGTTGCAATCAAAAAGTTTTGAACAATGTCTGAAGTTTATTTGGGTCCTGTTATATCTTGTTCTACATATGTGGTTATTGCAAGTGCTTAGTTTGAAAATCTACAACTTTAGGTTTGTAGACAAAGAGCTAGATTGTGCCCCTTGGAGTGCATACAGCACATGGCTGTGCACACATACCCATGGCTGTATGACCTCTGCGACAGTACGTGTCAGGAGGTTTAGGTTGGATATTAGGAAAAGCTTCTTCACCCAAACACTGGTTGAGCACTGGAACAGTGCTTCACCCCAGGGAAGTGGTCACAGCATCAAGCCTGACAGAGTTCAAGAAGTGTTTGGATTATACTCTCAGGCACATGGTGTGTCTCTTGGGGAGGGTCCTGGGCAGGACCAGGAGTGGGACTCAATGATCCCTGTGGATCCCTTCCAACTCAGGATATATGATTCTATGGGTAACCGCCTCCAACTCAGGCCATGAATATTACATAGTAGACCACACTTGGAGTAAGAAGGGGGAACGGACAAATGGGGATGAAGATTACTGCAGTTTTTCCCTAAAGGCTGCTTTCAAAAAAAAAAAAAAACCAAAAAAAAAGCCTTGGAAACTAAAAGCCATCTCTCTCTTAAATTAATCTTCTTATCTCCAAGCCTTGGATTGCCTTTAGCTTCACAAGAACCATACAGCTTATTTTTTCCTTCAATATAGACTAATATTCACTGTACTTCCATCTAAGAAAAAAGTGAGTTTTAAGTTTCCTTAGACATAGGAGGGCATTAATGAAGTCCCTCAGTCATTCTACAAACATGAAGTGGGTTATTACAAGTTCTGCATTTGGCGGGGGGGAATAGGGGGAAACCTCAAGTTACAGAATGAATGGTGCAGGTTGGAGGGAGAATCTGAACAGCTGGTGGAATTCTTGAAAGGACTTTAGAGCAATAAAGTTCTCATGACTATTCAAGATCTTAAAATACCATTTGACTGGACTGATTAGAAACAATCCCACCATAAAGTACAGTTTTTCTTATCAAAAGCGGGAATAAGGTGAGTGTATTTAAATAAATGAAGGTTGAATTAACCTGAATAAAACAAAGACAGATAGTACAGTTAACCTGAAATGCTGCTATAGAATGAGATTTATTTTAGGATTTCTTTAGTTAAAACTTCCCAAAGGTCAAATGGTGTGTAGCATCATGCACTGCCTTTTGAAGTTTGACTTCTTACAAGCAATGCTTGTTCCTGTAAAAAGTCTTAAAAGTTTATTTGGACAAAAACACATCATCAGGTCATTTCATGCAGAGATGGAGAATAATCACTGTCTTACAGTCTGAGATTTAAGACACCCTGTGTTTTAAAAGTTAACTAATGCTGAAAAGAAGTTGTGGAACTCGCCAATGCAGGACATTTCTGCCATGATGAAAGTAAAAGCTGCTTCAAAACAAGATTAAACTGATCACTTTTGCATTAAGAACCAAAAGAACTAAAGATCAAGGAACAATTTCAAGTTCACAAAGTCTCTAATAAGGTGTTCAGAGCTGGGAAAAGATAAGAGATTGCATTTACCGTACACCTCCCCTAAGTACTTGCTATGGGTCTTCTCAAGAGTGGATTTGGGGTTTAAGAGACATGGAGAATGATTGTATTGGATCTGACATAAAATACATTTATCTGCTAACACTGAGAAAAACCAGAACGTGTCTCAGGTTCTTCCCTTTGCCATCCATCAGAACACAATCTCGGTGCAATTGATCTGTGCAACACATTCTGAAACACTGATCCCATTCCTTTTTCTTACTCCTGGCCATTTCACATGTCCCCTTGGGGAGACAGGTTTGACATTCAGGAGAACAAGATTGAGATTATGCTGCTTCTCCTGCACTTACAGTTGTTCTATGACCATTCCTATGTTCCTGAATACTTTTAGTTCTTCCCATAATGGTAAGGAGCTTGAAAACTGATACAAGATCTTAGCATTCGTTTGCTGTATCTCAATTTCAATGCAAGGTTTCCCTTGCGTCTGACAGCACTTTTTCATATACAGAAATTCCAGAAATTATACAGAAGTCTAATGGTGCTTTCCTTTCTTGACTACCTGTGCTCATTCTTAAATATTCCCCTTCTACCATCGCCCCCAAAAGAGCTTTCCTTGTAACTTAGTATTCAAAGGCTCTTTTTTGTACAAGTGACTTCACTTTGCCAGAAAAGAAGAAAACCACAAGCTGAGTTTAGCACCAATGTAAGCAAGACTGTTTAGCCACATCTCAGCAAGCTGGTTACATAATCAGTCTCAACTATGCCAAGACTAATGCTAAGAGGCTGTGTAAGGACAAGTGATACGTGAAGTGTATCACTACCTGCTTAATGTGCAATACCTAAGATTAAAAGGGTTTTTGCAAAAATTCCTAAAGTTAAATGATGAGGAAAACCTCTGAAGGTGTTCTTCATTTTCTGTTTAAATATGTAAGATTTCTAAATATAATTGATCCATGCAACTACTTATTTTAGATCAGATCTTGAGATAAAAAATGAGCAACAACTACTTTTGGCTGCTCATTTCAGACCTTTGTTTATGATAGAAAGTCGCCAGTGTTTCATCTGAAATGCTACATGTTACTGTCATGGGTACGTTTTCACCAATTCTGCTTTATTTCAGCTGCGGCTGCCCTTGGTTCTGTACCAAGGCTTCATTTGTGTCGATTTGTGCACAGAATAAGGTAAAAATGCTGTCTCGAATGGAGTCCACTTTTTCCTTTAAAACTGTCAACTTCGGAATCTGGAAGAAGGAATTGCTTAATAGATTTAACTAAAAAAAAAAAAGAAAAAGTTGGGAAAGCTTAGGCATCGATCTAGCCCTTAGAACCTAAGTTGGGGACATTGTTATAGTTACTATTTCTGGCTGGCCTAGTAATTTTATGAATCAAAGCACTTTTGGGTCAGCTTTGCAAGGTTACCATGAAGGTAAAGAATCACTCTTGTTGCTAAGAATGAAGCAAAAGATGAATATATTTGTGAAAGAATAAAATGCTTACTTTATAAAATCTAAAAAATCTGTAACTAGAAAAAGTATTATTTGTTAATTGTATACTATATTTTTTCCCATGTTTGGAGATACTTAAATGAAAATTTAGTATGGTCAGCTCTGAATAGTGGCAGGAAAAAAAAGCTACGTTAAGGGAGAGATCTCAACAGTGGTAAACATTGAGCTTGTCATCTACATTTAATCCATTACATCCCTATGCTAGTATTGAAACTGCTCTATATTGAGATTCCAGTTCTTTATAAACTCAAGCTATTTTTGGGGAACAATGAGAAGCTGTGAGTGTTCCTAGTAAAAGTTCACTGGCCAAATTCTGCAAACACGTTTCCTTCACTTGGACTTGGTGGGTAGGGAAAGAGGTCAAGATGCAAATGTGGAGGAAGCATTATCACAGGTTTCTGGAGCATAATATAGATCTCAATAGATACTTTCCGTTATATACCCTTCACAAGACTTGAGGTCCTTGAAAAGGCTGTTGCAGATTCCTACTGTTTGCCTTTCCTATCTTTATTACTACAAAGTATTTCTTGCTGTATTGTTACACCTGCCTATTCTTAAAAGAAGCAAAAGCTGTAAGATGTTTATGATGACACCAAGTATCATCATCTACATTTACTTTCTATGCTAAGACCAAAAAATGTCTGCTTATTAAATTTATTTTAAAGTTGCTAATGTAGTGAAACTATCTGTTTAAGTATCGCTGTTTCAGGGTCACCATATCATTATGCATTAGGGAATGTCTGCTGCCACAGGGATTGGTGCAGCACAATCTCAGCTCAATGAAAACTCCCACTGTTTACAGCTTATGCTTTATTAGTCTGAAGGAAAGCGATGTAAAAATAGCAGGGGTTCCTATCCACTACAAAAATAAAGTAAACCCAATACAAAACCCACCCTCTCAGTAACTTACCTCACTGCTTCAATGACAGCTTTCAGCCCTTCTCTTGAAGTCATTCTTTTCTCACAGGCAGCAGTGCCTGAAGTGAAGGAGATGCTCCCATAACTCCTACAGAAGGATCAGGGCTTACAACCAAAACCAGCAACCTTGTGTTCTCAGTTTCTCCTATTTTTATTTAATATTTCAATTTTAAGGCATTTTGTGCTTGTGTATTATCTTCCAAAAAATTCTAACATAAACCTATAATTGATTCTTAATTCAAGCTGACACTGAAACAGTGCAGTCTTAAGAACAAAGCCCTTCAAAAAAAACAAATGAAATCAAACCAAGGGAAAAAAAAGAAAAAGAAAATTGCAGGTACAAATAAAATGGACTGATAAAACTTTACTTTTAAAAATAGTTACTAGTTCTTGTGCTCTCAGGAAAAGTTTTGACAAAAAGCATGACTATACAGTTAATTATCCTATGACTATCCAATTAATATAAGTAAGATGCAAATTTGGGGCTACAAAATGCCATCACTACAACTTTCCACACAGGGAATTAGACAGGAGCTACAGCAAAGACTGCCTTCAGAGGAGCCAAGATGCTTGCTTCCAGAGAACTCTGATTTTCAGGTAAGCTTGTTCACTATCAGCACTCCTGGTATGATGTGACTCCACAATGCTTTAAGCCATAGGCTTTATTTACATTCAAGCCTTGAGTGAAAATTGTATCACCTGTTTAAAAAGAAAAAAATTTTTCTTCATGCTCTACTTCCCTCTCCACTGGTTTGGAGAGATTAAAAATCTCCTTTACAAGGGTCAAGGTTATATTCACAGTTAAAATGTAGGGAAAAAAATGAGATAATAATTAACCAGTAGCCATTCAAATTCATCTACTTCCAGCTATATATAAACAAGAACTAATTGTTTTATTACTGCAGAAAAAATATGCTATTCTCATTCAACCCTAGAAAAACAAAGAAATGCGCACTGTTGATAGAAATAAAATTTATCTTTTAAAATACTCGGAGGCAAAATGCAGTACTAGTTTTTTCCCAAGTACACTATATAGTAATTTACTTAAATAGTACAGGTGTAAACATAACTGATGGAATAACAACTGAAATACCTGAAACCATAAAATGTTTTAGAGAAACAGCACGTGGAAACCAAAGCCACCTGGGAAATAATTCAACACTTTTTCCTGAGATTAAAACAGCTTTTGTGAAATGAAAAAACCAGAATCCAGGCTCAAGTCCAAAGAGCTAAACGGAAAACCCATCTTTTCACATACCATGTTCTGTGGTATATTTATGATTACAACTGTATGAAATTTCATTTAATGGTTGCCTTAAATCCATCTGAAAAATAAAAGGCAGTGTTGACTACCACTGGAAAATTGCAAATAAAATGTTTAATTTCAGAAACTGAGTTCACCATTTATAAATACACTAAAACATAGTAAATGCAAAATTAGATTAGGCATAGGTACAGTATTTTAACAAAGCTACAACTTTTCTAAAAGGTCATAGGCAAATGATGACTTGTTTCCCAAAAAGTATTCAATGAAAACTGAAATGAAAAGATGAATCTTTCTAGAGTTAAACCATGGAGAACGTTCCTTTCAAATTAAAATGTTGGCTATTTTTTCCATCTTATTTGAAATTTTAAGGGCTCTATATCCCATTTGCCTGATGGACACCAACGGTTAAGAATCAACCCTACTACATAAAGTTCTAAGCAGTGCACCATATCCATAAGGCTATTACTGAAGACCAGAAGACCAGTTATTTCTGTACTAGGAGCTTTAAGAAAGGGCTGTTCTACACAATTGAAATTACATTAGGAGTAAGGGCTCAATTTTTACAAAAGGGACCTTATAATTTCGATGCACTAAAGATTAGGAAAGTCTTCAGAATGACATTAGAGTCATCATGGTAAGTTTCTTGCCTTTTTGTACATGGCATTAAATAACAAGCATTAATTCACAAACTTTGATAAGACTTCCAAAGACCTTTTATAAATACACAGAATATTTCTGTAGTTCAGTTAAAATGTAAAACCTGAACAGGAGAACCCAGAATGGGGAGTTTTATTACCGATTGCTGTATAACTGACATTCCATATCATCTTAAATTTAAGATTTATTTTCAGATACTAAGTCAACAGTCTCCTGTAAACACATCTTTCTCAATAACTCTTCTTAATCCTGTAAGTACTTTAGGGCTTGCAGTTAAAAACACCACATGATAAAAAGACAGCTTGAACCCCATCTTTCATGTACAGCTTTCTCTTGACAACTACAAAACCTGTTTTCTTGCAATTAAAGCAATGTTCAACTAAAATACAGTACCTGGTTTATGGTTTTTACATAATAATTGAATAAAAAACTACAGAATAGAACTGTTTACATCTTTTTTTTTTCTTTCTTTTTTTTCCCCTCCATTCTATTAAAACAAATGACTGAGCTTTATTTTAAAGTTCATTTACAATTATGGATTAAAACCTACATAATTTTGTATAATTTGACGAGACAGGCTATCTCTAGTGTGAACTTTTAAAAAACATATATACAATATCTGGCCTGAAGTACTATGAATAAGGCACATGTAGACATATTGAAAGCTGAAAAAAATGACCCTAAATTTTGGAATTATAGTCACTGATTAGATGTCATACATGGCCCCTACTGGAGCAATTCAAAAATCCAAGTTATAGATAGTTAATATCCAGTGAGCAACAATAGATTTAATCTATCAGTTTGTTCATTAGTTTCAATACTGGAAGTATATTAAAGGAAGATTCACTTTCAAAAAGATAAGCTTCTCAAAGTGTTCAATCATTAACCTTGACTGACTAAAGTTGTTGCTTTCATTGGATGTATTAAACAATCTCTCTGAAGGAACAATGCTTGGTGGGCAACCCAAGAACCTGACAGCCAATTTTGACAGTACTGGCCAAGATGACTTTTTAAAGTTCCAGTAAGTTAGAGGATCACAGTTATGCTCAAGCACTTCTTCCTCCAAGTAAGAAAGCACCATTTCCTCTGGTAACTTTGCTCTCTCTTTCAGGTCTTTTGTTTTCTTCATGTCACCCATGAGTGACCAAAGATTATCTTCCCCATAGGAATTTGTAGATGGTGAACCTATATCACATCCATTGGAAACAGGTTTATCATCATCTGAGGTAGAACTCATTATTTCCAGCTCCCTGATTAAGTCTTGTTTATATTGTTCAGCCTCCTCTTCTGTAAATAAGGATGTTTTATACCGGGGATCCAGAAGCGTAGCAAAAATGTACCTTGGATCATGAAGCGTGGAGGACAATCTACTCACCATAGCTTCTTTCAAAGATTTCAGCATAGTATCTATGCCCATAGTTTCCTCAAACAGCATTTCTATTTTTCTGTTAAGTATATGAATCATTGGAATCACTTGGCTTAGAGTAGACATGTGTGTACTCATCTCCCTGCTTGCAGCTTCGAAAGGTTTGAGAGCGTGACACACCGACTGCATGACCTCCCACTGATCACAGCTTATTAGCTCCCGAAAGCTGCACTCTATTGACATTTCATCGATGGCTCTTTTCTGTTCAATAAGACGTTCAAGCATATGAAACGATGTATTCCACTTGGATGGAACATCTTGTATTAGCTGATGCTGAGGCAACTCATACTCCTTTTGCAACTCAGCTAACTTCTCTTTTGCTTTTGCTGACCGATGGACACGTTCACAGATCTTTCTTGCAATACTAAGCAAATTCTGAACCATTCTCTGGCTTTTAATAGCCTCATTTACAATTACATTAACCGTGTGGCTAAAACATTGTACACTTGAATGATCACCTTCATTTAAAGTTTTCTCTATACTCTGATTATCAGTAACAGTAATCCCAATCTGAAGTCCAATGGAAGTAATCCATGTTTCCCACCAGTACTCAAGCTGTTTTTGAATACTGATTCCATTGTAGTCACAGTCAATCTGCGATACATTTAATAGTGCTGAACAATGGTAATCCTCACACTGTGGTCGAAATGAAGACTCAAATGTTACCCAGTGAGCGGTCAGGGTTAGATATTCTCGTGTTTGGTTGCTCATCCATATTCCAGACGTAAAATGGATCACTCCACTTTCAGCTTCTTTAAGATGCGAAATAATTATTTGTTTTACATTATCATACATATCTGGAATTGCTGTCCTAGAAAAGTAAGATGGAGAAGGTAAAGAATATTGAGGTTGCAAATATTCAAGCAGCCTGTTAAAGCCAATGTTGTCTACAAAAGAATATGGCTGAAGGTCAAGTGCAATCATTTCGGCTACAAGACTTGTGATTTTTTTGGCAACTGGGTGAGAGTCACAAAACTTGTCATTGGTTTCATCAAAATTTGAAGATCCTAGTATTTCTGTGCGCAGTGGCATGTGATTATCCGTAGATGAGGATAATACAGTCTCTGGAACATCAGTTTTCAATACATTGTTATGAAACCGCTGCAAATGTCTTAGAAGGCAACTTGTGCCTAAGTTTGTTGGCTTTTTCCCCCTACTTATTATACGTCCACAGTGTGTACATATTACTTTTGTTGAATCTGCAGAACAAATTGAAAAGTGATTCCACAGTTTTGAGGTCTTCTTACTATTAACAGGAAATATAATTTGATTATCATGTGTAACCATTGTAGGTAAGTCAGTCAACTTTGAGGATGAACATTCTGCAGAAGCCAAAGTGGCGTAAGGAGAATTTGCCAAGCTCACATCAAGAAAGCTCTTTTGGTTTCCAATTACATCAGGATGGCGTCTATAGAGATGTCTCATTAAGCAGCTTGTGCCAACATCTCCTTTCTTACCACGACTTATCATGCAACTGCAGTATCGACATACTGCTTTTAGACTGTCTGCAGGTGACAGTGAAAAGTGGTGCCAAACTTCTGATTTAAGCCTTTTCATAATCCTTTTGTTTTGCTGAAACACAGCAGTAGGTTCAAATATTAGTGGACCTAATCCCTCACACTGCTTTTCAGGAGATGAAACAAAGGAGACTTCACCTATATCATCAGAAGATGACAGCATTGAGTCTTCTACTAGAGTATCTCCAGAAGTCAGATTAGTATGGATCTCCTCAGAGATTCTGTCTGGAGAAGAAGAAACAGAAGTTGGTTCTTTCATTAGTTTTCCAGGAGAAGATGACACAGAATTCAGATCGCTATCTGATGGTAGTAAAGAAGGCAACAGAGTTGGAGGTGTGGTGTAGAGAGGTGGTATGCTGGTACCACCTCCATTCTCCTGCAGGACAATGGAACGATGGGCTCTCCACATGTGTCTTATTAAACAGCTTGTTCCCAGGTCTTTCCCATTTTTCCCTCTACTGAATTCATTCATGCAGTGGATACAAACAGCTTTAGAATTATCTAGAGGTGACAAATAAAAATGTTTCCAGACAGCAGATCTCCTTCTAGAACCTGATGCGCTCTTTGGAATTACAACTGTTTTTTCTGCTACATTCTCAACAGTGTCGTCATACTGGTTGTTGGGTAGCTGTGGAGATGAGCTGACCATGATTTCCTCTTTGCTGCACTTTTCAGAAACTGAGAGATCTGATATTTCTTCAGAAGAAACAATAGAAACAGATTCCTCAATTATTCGATCTGGAGATGGTATTTTAGAAGCCATTTTCTTTACCAGTTTCATGGGGGATAACATAGAACTCAGATCTCCAACATCTGCAGATTGAGGTGGCAGCAATAATGTAGATGAAGAAAAGGAGGATATACCTGGCATAGTTCCATTTTCTTGAATTAGTACAGTGGGATGGGCTCTCCTCACATGTCTCATGAGACAACTTGTACTGAGGTCCTTTTCGTTTTTACCCCTGCTAAATTCTTTCATACAGTACATACATATTGCTTTAGTGCTATCTCTAGGAGATATAAAAAAATGGTTCCAAGCAGGTGACTTTTTTCTGGAGCTTATGTTTCTGCTAGAAAGGAGGCTTTGTGTCACAGCTTCCATTGCTACATCGTACAGCGTATTACTATACTGAGAAAAAAGAGATCCATAATCATCTTCATTTTCCGTGGACAAATATTTGCCAGGGTTGTTGTTAATGAAGTTCTTTTCTTTGTCTTCCTGTTCATCGCTGCTGTCTGTGTGTTTGAACTCATCTTGTTCTGTTTTTACATCTGTTCTTTCTAGAGTACAGTTAATGCTGTCTTCCTCTTGCTCTACTTTTAAGTTATTGATTTTACCCAATACAAAATTATCATCCATTCCGGGGGACTCTGCTTTACTCATGTCCATGGATGACAAATTCTTCTTGCCAAGACTTCATTTATTAATAAATATAGATAATTTAAAAGATTATTTAAAATTTGATTAAAATTATGTATCTTGTATACTGTACACACAAACAAAAATGTGTGCATGTGTTAAAATAATCTCTGGTTTATGAATCCGTGTTGTGCATAAGCAAATATAATTAGTCATAAAAATGCATTTAAAAATTATAGAATTAATTAATGGAATCTCTTTTTTTCCCAGGATCAGGACATTTCACGTCATAGATGAATGTTCTCAAAGACAGCTACTGTTAAATGCTTCATGTTGTAGACATGATCCTAAAAAATGAACGTTCTGTTTTCTTGTTGAAGGAAGCCATTCTGATCATCTTGATTGGGCAACTGCGATTCTTTTGCAGCATCTAGAAACAAAAAAATCGAAGACAAAGTTGATTAACACTTCAGTTACTTTAAGTGACTACAGTAAAGGAACTGAAAACAGGCACTAAATATTCTGTAGGTTTTGGGTTTTAGTCCTTTGAGATAAAAACAATTCACTGTACTATTAGAAAAAAAAGAAAAAAAAAAAAAAAAAAGGAAAAGCCCCAACATTTATTCAAGTTCTAGTTCAGTTTTGACAAAATCTAGAGTCCAAGCATTGCTTTTATATTTGCTTGAACATACCTATGCCTCATCTGTCATCATAATTCAACCACTGCACATGCACATATATACTAAAACATATACTACATAGGTGTCTCTATCTGCAGATATATATAAAGACAATGGGGCATTTAATCATCTTAGCACAGAAATATGTACTTAAAACCCAATGTTACATTATACTCCTGTACATGTGAGCCCTTCATTATTGACAGCAGTGTTATAAAAAACAAACAAACAAACAAACAAACAAAAACCTCTGTTTAAGGGTGTCCAGCATTGCCACACTAAGCTCTCTTCCTCTGGCCATAGTTTCACGTGGTTGTATTCATGCTATAAAACTCCCAGACAAAAACATACTATAGAAACAGGCTACTTTTAGAGTATCATGATTAAAAACTGAAATGTTTGATTTAGGGTAACTGGGCTGCATAAATGCCATAGACACTGAGGTTTTCCAAAAGCACAACAACATCACTCAGAAGCAAAGGCACACACAGTTGCATACTCTGGTGCCTAGTGCAGCACTGCCAGCTCAAGTTCCTTGTGTACCCAAAGGTTACAATAGAAAGCCCCTTTACACCAAGGTAGCTAATTTCACTTGAGAGTAAAGATTGTTGCCCACCAACTCCAGTACAAAGAGTAGGTTTCTGAAGTATAGTCGCATATAACCCACAGGGCCAAAACAGGCTACACAACCAGAATGCCCCACTAGTCCCTCACAAACACAAAGTTGACTGCATTTGTCAGTCACTTTTTTTCCACTGGTGGTCCAGTGGTAAAAGCGCTGCGCTATCACCGCGGAGACCCGGGTTCGATTCCCGGTCAGGGCCACTCCCGGGCAGGTGGGGCTCGTTAGCCCTTAAAGGCAACACCTAAAAAAATCCAATGCGCAGGCTGGAAGGTGTAAAGACCTTCCCCGGATCTTCGCTTGCGAAGACTGGCCATTATTATATATTATTATTATTTATATATTATTATTTTTCCACTATTGTTTATTCAGAATTCTAAATTTTGCCAAACCCTTTCTCATTTATTTTTCTGTGTCATTAATATAGTTATTGGTGCCGTCATTCAAAATAAACATTTTTGGCCACATAGGTGATGCTACACTATGTACTCCAATTTGTGCAAACTGAATTTTATGGAACTCCTTCTCCTAGGTGAAGACAAAACACAAATTTGAATCAGTTATTTTAAAAACTTCCCACAACTTTCATTTGTTAGTAAAACACAAGGATTGGAGTGATTTATGGGGTGTCCTGCACAGGGACAGGAGTTGGACTCGATGACCCTGATGTGTCCCTTCCAACTCAGAATATTCTATGGTTTTATGGTTTCAGGGGACAAAAGGTGGAAGTAGTCATAGCTACAAAACACATTAAAAAGTCTGTGTTATTCACACAGACATTTCCTCCCTGTATCAAGATCAGTGTCATATTAACTTTGTAACTGATTTTAATTAATTTTCTCCAAGGTCTGTTTACAAATCAGAAACACTCATTTTCCATGGATTTCAGATTTATGGAAAGCCTAGAATGAAAACTTTCTTTCTTTTCCAGTGCAGAGAAAAGGGCAGGGAAAAGGAGGGGTAATCGTCCTACTGCAGCTGTTTTAAGAAAAGAGAGATGTAACAGTCAGAGCGTGCTAAGAGGTAGGGAGCAACTCTGCTTTTCTTTTTGTGCAAGTTTTAGTCTTTGTGCACTGCCTTTCTCTCTCCTTCTCAGGAAGAAAAAATCGTTTTCACGTACCAAAAGATATGAGGGTTGAGCATGAAGACCATCAGTTTGAATGAACAGAAAGACTTGAAGAAGAAGAGCTTTAGATTTCGAGAAGAAATTAAATACACTACACAGGACTTTCCATAGGCTTGTGAAATCACATCTAAGAACAATTCTGGCATCCAGAGACTAAATTTACATGACTCGGTATAAACTTGAATGAAACACAAGCTAGTGATCACATACATACTGATGATACGGAAGCACTTGGATCTGGGACAAGACAGAGAGTGTAAAATAGTCAGCTATTTTTAATAGGAATCAATCTAAAAGGATTTTTTGTTTCATCTTTACTTTGATCTAATCTGTGAATTTGGAGCTTGTATTGCAAACAGGAAAAGCAAGAAAACATAGTAAGCTGTTATGACTTAGGATCACAGAATAGAAAGGCTCACAAGCAAGTGACTCTATGCAGGCCTTACAGAACATAAATTATACATGGCAGTGCCAAATTACAGTAAGCACATTACAGATTCCTACCTAGATTCACACAAAACACACACATACATCCTCTGGCATCAGGTTCTGACAAACCTGTTTACAATTTCTTTGCCTCAAAACAGGTAATCACATCTCTAGCCTGCGACTCCTGTAATTTCTTAACTATGCAAAACTAGTTCTAGGCTTTAAACAAAAATTCACAGAGATGCTTCAATTGCTTCTGTCCTGATAAGCAGTTACTGCTTAACCCAGTGAAGCTTAAGGTAGCTGTGATAGGAAGATTTGGAAACTTGATAAAAAAAGACCAGTTGCAAACTTTATAACCACACTTAACTAGACTGACATTCATTAAGACCACATATTGCCAGTGGTTAAGTTCTTAATCGTTATCAGCCATTATCACTACATATTCAACAGTTAGGCCCTAATCATCTTATCCTAAATTAGCTTTGAGTACACAACACCACTGAGCCGATGCCATGTAGTTTAATACTGATGGCTGTGGTCCTGATGGTCTTACTTGCTGAAGCTGAGGTGAAGAGGTAAGGGAGCTATTTGGACTCTTAAGCATGAACTGTGGTGGTATACTACTTTGTTCTCTATTTCTCCTTGCTGTTTCTGGGTGGTTTTAATCCTCATAATCTCCTCAAAAAAAAAAAAGTGGGAAGAAATTTCATCTGCTCCTGACCTTATTATTTTTGTTTCTTTAGGACCAAAACATTTATTTAGGACCAGAACAAGGGGAGATGTATGTAGGATAGAAAAACATATGAGTCAACAATTCAAGTAGTAAAATCTCAATCAAAATCCAAGAATACAGGATAAGCAAGAAAGATTCCTGGGGGAACAAGTCAGGCTCCTTCCAGTGGGTCAAGTGACAGCACAAGGTGTAATGCTTACAAACAAACACAGGAGGGTTCATCTGAGTATGAGGAAAAACTTCTTCCTTTGAGGGTAACAGGGTACTGGAAGCAGCTGACCAGAGAGGGTGTGGATTCTCCTTTGGGGATGTTCAAAACCAACCTGGACAAAGATTCTGTACAACCTGCTGTAGGTGAACCTGCTTTAGCAAGAGGGGTGGGACTAGATGATCTCCAGAGGTCCCTTCCACCCCCCACCATTTTGTGACCCTGTGTTATGATGTTACTACATCACATTGTAAAATCAAGTTAAGCTCCTTCCCTTCAAACACCCCTGTGGGTTCAACCCAAATTTTCTTTAGAAGACAGTCCCCAGAATGCTCAGGGTTAGAAAGATAGAATGTTTTTCATCTCTTCCCATAACAACTATATGCACGAGTCAATCTATTTTAATAAGAAACAAAAAAGGATGGAGTGTTTTAAAATTTTATAGATACCTTGAACAACATATAAATTTGGTTATGACCACTTTTACATAGCTTGTTTACCCTTGGACCCAAGTTAATCAAAATTAAGGACTACTGCTAAATAAATAGGACATTCAAGGAGAGGAAAAATGTTTTCGAAGTTACAAAAGGCTACAGGCAGTCAGCTGAAAATTAAAGTGGTTTATGCCTTTGAAATCACCACAACGAGATACAGAATCACTTTGAAAAAAAATTTTTTCAAAGAAAATAAAGGGAACTAGAGAACAATTATCTATTCAAATGCACTACTCTGGACTACTAGCTCCTGAGAGGCTGCTGTGGTAGGAAGCCTGCAGAAACGTTTTACAGGATTTTCCATTCAAAATGGGATTACTGGAAGTGCATGGTGGTTGACAAGAAATATCAGGAGAATGCCACTGCCACAGCAGACTGCCACGACCAGAAGAAATCACTGAAGGAAGGAGGTAAAATGAGAAACACTGGTGTGTCAGAATTGCAGAGACATACATTAACACACAGAGAAGTATGAAAAGCACGCAAGAACACTGAACCATGAGCAGATTATTTGTTTGTAAAGCACATTGTGGCCTGTAAGCTTTAAACAATTTTAGACTGTAGGTTGCATAGTCAGGTGATAATCATGATTACAATCACAGAAACTTGGTGCAAAGGTATAGAGAAATGGTATGCGGAAAGTAGTTAAAAAGCTTTACATTATTATAGAAGTGCATGCAGTGTAAATACACAGACCCACAACTGCAAAATGCAAGAGCAGTTTTTTCAGGAAAGATGCAAAATGTGAAGACAGTGAAAGCAAAACCATTTGCTAATTTGAAAAAAGAAAAAATTAAAAGTAGTAAAGATTTTGAGCACAAAATGTACATAAAAGATCATTAAAAATAATTTGCACAAACAGATAACCGTTTTAGAATAAATAGTGCCAATCTTGTTTATTTTTGGAAATGTATAGGCATCATTAAGAACAGCATGTAAAAAGAAAAACCCTAAGAGCAAGCAATACAAGCAATAAGGAGAAGATATTTTGAGAAATTATTATTTGCCTCAACTGCAATGGTAAGTATTATGCTAATTATGAAATATTTATGAAAACAAAATAAACACACAAAACACAAATAAAGAAACCTCCAAAAATGCAGAAAACACACATCTAAACACCTTAACAAATAAG